CCGACGGGACGAAGGTGTTTCAGATGCAACCCACAGGGAGGCCTGGGTAAATTACACGTGCTCCGGCGGTATTCCTTGCCTCAGAGCTGAATTATTTTCGGTGGAAGTTATAGATGGTAGGATGCGCCCCGGGGACTTGAAACTATCTCTCAGAGGCGTATTGATCCATGGTGAAAAAATGGCGAATAATGGAATAATCCCCAGGAAGCGGACAATCTCTGCAGCATGGTCTGCACCAAAGGTGCAGACGTTACTACCGAATTCGAAGAGACCTGAGGGTTTGAACAAGAATTTCAGGAGTTATAGACCAAGTTGCAACAGAGGGGGGTGTCGTACATGGAATATTGCTAGAGTTGGTCCTGGAGTATCGGTCGCGCATGGATTGTCGTCGGTTGGAAGAGCTTTTACTGTTGCTCAATCTGAAGACCGATGCGGAGGTCTCAGACAAGCGCCCACGTATTTTTTGGTCGGATTTTCCATCTCTGCGCCTCCTCTACTTCTCGACTTCATTTCTGCCGATGTACTTGAGGTTCACAGGCGGGACAGTGAAGGAGTTGCGTCTTATCCGGACGGTAAACGATCAACAAATTTCGTGGACCGAAATGCGGGAGACGTTGTTGGGTTTTCCTGCCTTAACTTTGCTCACGCTATGCAACATGGCTTGCACCTCTTTCCCCGAACATAAGAAGGACGTCGACCCCATTGTATACCATCTGCTCCGACACCTCGAAATAACCGTCTCCTACAACCAGGCTATACCGCTTCTAAATGCAATCGTGGTGCCAAACATGCGGTCCTTACGTCTCACCTTACTCGGAATAGGCTTAATGCGCCCGGTGCTAAGGTCTATCGAACACATACTGGGACAGGTCGTATATCTGGACCTGTCCTTGCGCCACACTACGACCAAAGCCTCGATCATCATGCTCATAAACCATTTCCCAAACATCACGTCTCTCGACCTATCTCGATGCCACAGTGACGTTGTACAAGAAGTAACAGAAGGTCTCGGAGACCGCCAGATGCATCTTCCCAGTCTAAAACGCCTGCGGATGGGCTGGTTCGTGAACGACGTGAATGCCAAATTGGTCGACTAGGTTATTGTATGCTGTAATTGTCTTTCACAGGCTGTGCGAGATGAGAGATAATTGAGAAAAATAAAAATAAAAACAAAAGGCCGGAGGCCAGACGAGTATTGCCATGCGCCAGCAATGGCCCCCCAAACCCAAGTTTGGGGTTGATTGGATAACATCTGGCTTCACATCAAATTTTTGCAACGCCTTCTCTTGGCTGGGGCTAGATAACAGTAGGTTACCCATGAACCACCCGTGGGATTCACCCCGACCATGCAGTCCGACTGCGGACTGTCATGGCGTGTATTAATAAATGAAGAAAGGAAACGCGGCGCAAGCGGGCTACGCATCACCAGGGCTGATTAAGAAAAGAACGTGGCTGCTGCGGTCACGAGACATCGTCCACAGAAAGTGCATATGTGAGCAAGGCTCGGATGACTATAGGAAAAGATGAACTCACGCTGCCCGCGCTGCCCGTTCGCGGCGCGCAGGTCCTGTGCTCTGGCCGGTCGAGGCTAAAGTGGATTATATCAGCGTGGTCTCTATTTTCTGCACCTGGCCATTGAAACAACGGATTGAACAAATGAGGAACTATGGTATGATTTTTTTTCACGCCAGGACTTTTTTCCATTCCATTCTTGAACGAATGATCAATTCCGCGTAGTAAGGTTGTAGTTCAGGAATAACTCAAAGCGAATGACACAGATCTGTGCCATTGTCGAGATGTTATCCACCGCCATGCATGGGAAAGAGAAATTTTTATTCAGTATAAAGGTTACGTGCCACCAACGACACCCAAACGCCTCTCCTTCTCCTTCCACACCCCGCATTCCTCCTTATTGCATTTTTCGAGATGCTTCCCTTCCAGCTGCTGACTGCGTTTGCATATGCCGCCCTGTTGGTTTCTGCAGCCCCGCATTCAAGGATCCTTACTGCGATACCTCCACAGCTAAGCTGGACCTCCCGTCGAACCAGACTGCGCTGGTTACCCCCACCACTGCCCCTCTGTTCGTCACGCTCGGTGTCGGGGTCCAAAACTACACCTGCAACGCCTCGACCTTGGCATACACGTCTGTGGCCGCGCCTCCCTGTACGATCGCTCTCACGTATTTATTTATTTTAGCTCCATCGGCGCCGTCGCGGCATTGTTCGATATTTCTTGCCTCGACAAAACCCCCGTGTTCGCCAACATCCAGACAGTGGCTTTCAAAATTTGGTCTGCGCTGCCTGCCGGCCTCACAGCCGCCAGTATCGGTAGCAAAATGGGGGCGCCTGGCCTGCTCGGGGTAGGTCCACATTTTTTCCACTGTCCGTCTTCTAATCTTTCGTACCAGTTCCACTACTTTGTGCCCTCGCCCACGGGTACTAGTATCTCCCCAATCTGGGACTTCACCTCGACTGGCAAGTTCGCTGGCAACTCTAGCGCGTTCGTGATCCGTTCGAAGTTCGGGGACATCGCGGCGCCCACGGACTCGGCGAAGAACGTCGACTGGCTCGAGCTGAAGAGCCTCCAAGGCTCGCTCGCCTCCAAAATTTTCCGCATTGACACAGTCAACGGCCAGCCTCCCACCTCCGTACGCCTCGTTCGCACCCATTCTTTCGCTCTTCAGTGCTAACAAGCCTCCTCTCGCAGTGCGTCGCCGGATCCGCCGACATTAGCATCAAGTACACGGCCAAATACTTCCTGTACTAACCTAAAGTAAAAGGCGCTTCCGATTGATACTGTGGGAATAATGAGAGCGTTATGTTTTTCGGGTTTCGGTTCTTTGCCGGTTTCACTTGGTTCACTCTTGTGATGGCGGAAATAGAGTCAAAGCTTGGCTATGCGACAGCGTTTTTAGTCGGATGTGGTAGCCAGCGGACCTAGAAGTGGGCGTTGTTACGGATTAACCTGTTGCCGGTATAGCACAGGAGAATGCGTGAATAACGCCATGAGACAAAGAGAACTTTCCGAAAAATTCGAATCTGGTCGAAATCTTGCAATTGTATCTTGATTAATACCTATTGGGGGAAGTCAAAGCCGCCGGGCAGGACTGATTCCCGAGCCGATTCTGGTTCGATTCTCGTCCGATTCTCAGAATAGAATCGATCAAGCATCGGAATCAGGTTTGACCGACCCCGTTCCAACTTTGATTCCAAGTTCGATTTTGCTGTGGATTCTTAGATTCCTCCTGAATGTGAAACCCGATGTATCAATAATATATTTGTCCTGGGTAAGTGGTACAATTGAATGATACTTCCTGCCAGAAGAATATTTTGCAAGGGCGATAACAGTCTTCCAAGTATTGCAGTTTTACACCGGTCACACAGGCTAGACGGCATCGGTGAAGAGGTTTGCTGAATCAATCGAAATAAGACAATTTAGGTTAGGATTTTTTTAGGAATCATAACAAAACTGCAAGGCATGTAGTCTGTTGTTCGCCACCGTGTTTGGTGGCCGCGTTATTATATAATCGTCGGAGTTTGAAATTTTGCCATGCCTATTTAGCACCTCCAGGACCCCCATCCTCAAACTTTGAGAGAGAAAGGATATTTAAATCCATGTCTGATCCCAAATATGTCTTCAAATTTTTATTTTTCAACTCTCCATTCTCGCGGAATAGAAAGAGCAGATTATGTCAGGATTTGTCATGTCTTGAGCCATCAAAGTTCAAACTCCTTGTTCTTCGACTCTGCCACCGCGAGTTGGGTGAGAAAGTTGCTCAATCTATGCTAATAAATACTAATTTGACTTCATATTTGTGATAAACTTGTTCTGGAATGCATAGCAGCATCCAAATTGTTTTCGTGATTTGTAATAATGCGGCCAGCGATCAACGCATCAACCTTTTCGACAGACTACAACATGCGAGGTACGAGCACTCTATTGTTGTAGCATCTGTTTATAAGAGACTACAAGGCATGCGGCAGGAAAGAAAGGGAGTTTAAGACTCTACTGTCAAAAGCCAATCACCCAACAACAATGCCACCTCTGCTCTGTCACCTTCGCCTGTTTCGACCTCCGATATAGTTGATCCAAAGGGGACAGTCGAGGAATCCCAAGTGGAGGTTGGAAACACCTCAAGTGAATCCAATTCGGCCGAGTTGGATGACAGCGATCCCCAGGAAGCAATGATCACCGAGTTGGATGCCAGCGATCCCCAGGGGGGAGTTATCGCGTTAAACTGCTTAATCTGCGGCGAAACAGTTTCTGCACCATGCTGGTATTGTCTGGACTGTACAAGTGAGTCGATAATTGCCCATATCCACGGAACACTCAATGACTGAAATCCTACAGGAGTGGACGCACCCGTCTGCACTGCCTGCGAGACTAAAATCGAAGAGCTCTTTCCATGGGATTATCTCCGCCGATACCGCAAAGACATTGGATATCGCAAGGAAGCTGAAAAATTTAAGGAAGCCGAAGAACCGCTAGCCAGTTTTGACTCCTCCGCCCACAGCGTTCTCCATCTATTGATTCGATTCGGCAACACGGAAGGTACACCGCCAGCACACGGGCCGGCGACGGAGATCAGTCAAGCGTTGCAGCAAGTTGAACAGCGTCTGCTGCTGCGGATGGATGAAGAAAAGAGGCAGATGGAGCAGCGGTTTGCGAGGATTGAAGCCCTTTTGCAGGCTTTATTGCCTGGGGCAACAAAGAATGGCCCGGCTGATAACGAACGCGCGTAGGTGACCTCGGGTCTGAGGCGGAAAATTGAGGGTCACAGACCCTGAGACAGTGTAAAATACAGCAAATTTCGTGCAAACGGTCCAGGGTCCAAATTTATTCCGAGTCCAATCTCTCTGAAATGTGTCCAGAAACTCAGGCAGCAGATGAACTTTTGGTTTCATTTTTATTCTCAGACGCCAGATTCGGGTCATCACGCCTTCAGGTTGCAAAAACAAAAAAAAAAAATTGCTTGCTGCCCTAATGAGCCACGGAGGCCAGGCTTGGTGGCGGAGGGTCCGCACCCGCAGTAAATGGATCTTTCACAATGAGATTATTTCTGCAGGAGGCGCTCGTTCGAATCGAGCCCGGGTCATGAAAAGGCCGTTCCTCCATCCTTTTTTAATTCCTGTTCACCCTATTAGGGACGTCTTAGATTGAAAAGCCCGATCAACGTGGTAGGATACATTATTAGGTAACTTTAATGACCAAGTCAAATCCCAGGCTCCCAGCACACATCGTTGGCTCGTTACAGTGGTGCCACTCGAAATCGAGTCAAGGTTTGTTTGGAGTGCCAAACAGACGAGCGGGAGGTTTTTCACGGATGGTTTGGCTTTGGGCCAGTGGCCCAATCCATGGTATGAGAACGGACCCCCGACCCCCGCACTTGTGAATTGGCCAAGAATTGGGGGAGCAATAAGGAAAAGACAAGCGAGGGGGTTGGTCGGGCATAAGAAATGATGCTCCCACGCTCGGCAGCTTGTTCCGAAACTCCCGCCACGTTTGATTGCCCCCTTCTCGTGCCTTCAAATCTGACATGCAAGCTCCCCATAGGTCATTGTCCAACCTGCAACCACCAAATTTGACTATCATACATTGCACCGACTTATACTAGGCAAGCGGCCGGATGCCTAGTTTGGCCGGATAGGCAGTCGCTGATAGTATCGATTTGACTTTGAGGCCCGAAAAGGAAATACTTATCCGTCTTTCTTGCTACTCCGATGATACCCACTGTCGGACACTTCATCCTGGTCCTCCAGCATTATTTCATTCGTGAATTCTCTTTGAAAAGAGCCCTCTATATCCTCACGGTAATCGTTGCAACATATCCTCTCTTTAGATTGCATATGAATCAGCGACGAGAACCCCGACAACCACGCGAAAAGGCTTGGCTACGGAGCATCGTACAGATTTTAGTGGGGGCATTTAATCCCGAGCATGAACACCCTCATTTTCTGCCCGAGGAAGATGATGTTGGGATAGGCTTAAGCCATAGGCTCTGTAAGGATCTCGAGCAATTGTATCACTTCCTGGGAATTGACGATGGGGTCACACCATTCTTCCCTGAGCCACACACCATTTTGTGCACCACTCGAATCAATTGCATTCTCTGCCTTAACGATGACGCACCCCCGAGGGCCACTTCATTCCCTACGTTCCTGTACCAGCGGTCCCCCAGTCTAATCCGACTCGTACACGCCCCACCGTTCAAGTTAATCCTGTTGCATCCACCTCTCACCTACCTCCAGCCAACGAACGGTTACCTGCCACACGACGACCTGAATCTCCAGCAGCAGAAGATGGATGTGGAGAGTTTGAGGCCGACTTCGCCTATTCTTATGCGTGTACGCCTTGCCACTCGTGAAACGCCTCGGAGACGGCACTGTACATCGGCGAGCGTGCGCAATTCAGATCCAGAAGGATCATCGACGAATCCGATGCACGACATGGGGTATTATGCGCACTAGCTCGCGGCAACGCTGCTGGCACTCAAGTGCAAACGCGCGGACAAGGTAAGCGGTTCAAGTCCGTTCGTGCGACAACAGCCTATTCCGTTGCTCACCGCGCCCTCGTACGCCCACAGACGCGTGAGTGATAATAAGTACATTTCCCAGGAACTCTGACAGTCGCACCGCGTCCACGAGGCCCCGACTCCTTCGTGTTCGGAAAGTCGCTTTGATACCCGCGCCTGTAGGACTTGAGGTGATTTCTCGGCTCACGTGCGTTATCTTACTGCGGAATTGCACCTAAAGTTAAAAGGGGTGCACACTTCGATTTATTTGGGTACCCAAATGAACCACACATATAGCTAGGTCAAATCACCCTCAAGAATTCCACTTGAAAGTCTAGAAACTACGCTAATACACCTTAGGAAACATTGAAAACACTTTAAACTTCAAAACAACGCCTGTGGGGACCTTGAGACAAAATTCGGGAAGTGCCGCGTCAGTGCGCGCCACCCGCGTCATTTTCTCCTGACCCGTCCTGTTTTCTCATCATGGTACCAACGACCTTCATTCGCAGCAATTACCTATAGTATTCGCGAATTGCCAGTGGCAGACAAACCTCACACAAGCACTGCTAACCGCATTGGCGAGATCTCCGGCTCTCAAATTGCGTCCCCTGGGTAGTTTCATGAATTCAACGCGAGAACCCATTAAGTTCGGCATTCGACGGCACCAAAGCCTCCTACGCCGAAGTGCCGGGGGGCGCTTCGCGCCTCCGGCGCGCTCTGGCCAATTCTGCTTGCGTACGGAGTGCTGAGACCTCGCTCGATACCGCGGCGTTGCATATACAGTTCAATTCATCCCAGTACGAATTACAAATTCAGTGCTTATCGTTTGAAAACTCAGGAAATATATCAACAAACCAACTTCATCCATCATCAACCAACGTCGCGCTGACCTCGAGGTGCGGCTCGAAACGGTGCACCGCCCAAGTCATTGCGAAACTGTTTGCCTCGAGTTGGGTGCAGAAGCGGAGCGTAAAATGGCCATGACCGTCATCTTCAACCATGACTGGTTTAACCAAACCACCGGTTCTGACCTTCGCGCAAAGACTCTCAAAGATTGTCCCAAAGGTTTCTTCCGGGTTGCTGGCATCCAGAGGTCCAAGCCTGACAGTCGCAAGGGCAGGGGTCGGTGGAGATTTGAGTTCAGCGGGAGCGTGAACGTGAGGAGCTTCCTGCATAATGGAAAACATTTTCCCCAACCCTTCGGCGGTCGGTCTCTGGGCGCGGTCGTATTGAAAGCACCAATGTGTGAGCTCCCACAGGCGGTCGGGCATGAGATTTTCAGCCTCGTCGCTGGGCCTGTTCGGATACGGGCTTTCCTCGCGCCCCGAAGCAATGGCCAGAAGGGCGCCGGTCTCTGTGGGGAACTGGATAAACGGCGCTGTTCCCTCGGACCATATCTTTGAGCGCAAGTTAGTTGGGCGATCAGAAGAAAAGAGCGACGGACCTCGCAGCAAACACAGCCGAGAGCCCAGACATCGGATGCTGGTGTTCGTTTGAAAGGAACATCCGGAGGAGGGATGATCAATTCTGGCGCCATCCATCGTATCGAGCCTCCGCGCGTGGATGACTTGTTGTTTGAGATGTCGTTGTCGATGAATCCAGCGAGCCCGAAATCTGAGTATATTCCGCTGGTGACGAGGTAAGGCATGAATTTTTTCTAAAATGGTTCACGAACGCCGCAGAGGTCTCCATGAACGACGTTGTTCGAATGCAAATAGGCCAAACCTCGTATTACACCGTCGAGCTATGGGGTCCGCTCAACCGAGTGCGTCACGACAAAAGACAGCAACTAACCATTTGCATCGCATACGGAGGTTTTTCCATGTAATTCAGAACGCTCCCAAGAAGCATCCAAGGAGAAACCATGGCGCGCGAACTTAACGGACTTGCAAAGGTTGTGTAATCGACGCCCAAAAACGGGATGATGTTTTCGTCTGCGAGCCGAAGGTCAGTTTCCCGCTCAAATAAATTGGAATGTACTCACGTCTCAAACGGTGCCATACCAGGGCCTCTTTCACGAATTTTCCATGCAGGATGGCGCGATTCTTATCCGTTTGGTCTTGGAAGATCTTGAGGACCTTCAAAGCCACCTCGACCTTGACCCCGTTTGCGTCCTTGTGTATCCCTCGATAGACGTCGGAAAAGCCACCATGTTTGACCGGATGTTCATCCTGCAGAACGATGTCACAGATGGAAACATCGTCAGGCAGTAATTTGAGATATGTAGCCACCCAGTTGAGAAAATAGTGAGCACGTCCCTGGAAGACATGAGGGTCCTTTATACTGTGGTTTTTCGGCAAACCATGGTCCAGCACCTGGTCGCCGTGAATAAACGAGGACGAGTTGAACTATTCACGTACGTTGTTCGCCAAGTTCATCGCAGCCAAGGCGTATTTTGCATCAAGTGAGGGAATCACCGTTTTGTACGAGTTCAGCTCGAACAACTGGTGCAGCAATTCAGCAGTTTTGGCGTTGTTGAGGTCGCTGACATTGGCCATGATGAGTCGTTTTTGAACTTTGGGTATGTTTGGAATTGATGACAGGGCCTGCAGCAATGAACTGGCAAAAAAGACAACTGAAAAGGCTGGCTACCTTGCCAAATTGTTTCGAAACCGTGGATACTTGATAAAGCTTTGTCAAAATTGATATTGTCGTGCTTTCATCAGGTTTATCTTGGGTTTCAACCCCGGACAAAAGCCCGAGTTCAGTGAGTTGGCTCAGCAGGCTGCACTCAAGTTAGACCCGCTTCCACGAAGAAAAAATGGTCGCACCTCTCAGACTCGGCTCCTCCGAGTCGGTGAATACCAGATACCAGGAGCTGGAGGACACTCTGGCATAATCAGGCTTTCTGCGCGTCTAGTTCAAATTATATCCTTACCTCTTCCAAAAGTAGCGACGAATATTGCTTTCCAGAGTATACGACCGATCCAGCATCTGAGATATACGAGGTGTAAGTATAATTCAAGATGTCCGCGCCGCCGTCAGACACGTGGCGAAGGAGTTTAGAGCCAGTGATCACCACAATGGAAATATGTTTGAAGTATTCCGTGTTAGATGTGCCTCGTTTGAGCTTTTTGATGAGTCCGAAGAGCTCGTCGGCCTGGTCGACATCTCGAACCCCGTGCACGATGAGGACAATCGGGGACATTACGGATGCCTGTGCACCCTCGGGGTCTCTACCATGTGTTGCGTTTTTCCGTGCGAGACGATCAAGTGCGGCCCTGAGCGGATCATAAATAAGCCTGGAGACTATTGTCTTTCAGGATTGTCAACGGGTGAGAACACGTGGATAATAAGTAGAATCGCACATCCATGTTGTCGTCCGCCGTGTGCGGTGAAACATCCCATTTCCCGGAAACACCAAAGGAAGAAGGACGCCAAATGAACCTTTTGAAATATTTGGACAGTGGGGTAGCAGGTTTGTTGATTTCCTCTTTGTATTGTGGACAGACACTTGTAAAGCCGCGGATCAGAGGCCAAACTGTGGAGTGAGTCCGGCTGACATCGACAAGGGCGATTCGTTGGGAGCCGTCGCACTGGGGAGAGGAGAGAATGTCATAAACGACGTGCGCGATGTCTCC